GCAAAACTCCATGATCATGGAAAAAAATAATATAAGTGTTATGCCTGTTATTCCAATCCATATAAATTGTGAATGGTACATGCATTGAATTTGCTTAACACATTATGTTTAAACTAAACGTTCATCCTTATGACTTCAATAGCTTTATCTATTCACCTAATACCCTAATACCCTTTTTTTATTTATAAAATGTTTGTTAACAATGACATAGGAGGTCAAATTACGTCATTTGAGACTAAGAGTAACTTGTTTGATGAGACTACCCGGTCCAATTGTTTTAGTCTAGTACTCGACTCGTTTCGTAATTGAAAAAAAACTGAGATTTGTTTTTAAACTTCTGTTAAATGTATAAAGTGAAAGGAAATAAGAGAAGTGACTTCGTGTGATTTAAATTTAATCATTTATATGGGATAAAATCTTAACACGTGTTTTGTAAAAGTGGAGATAAATATAAACTTAGAAGTAATTAAAGTGACCAATATTTTTATATAAAAAAAAATAGTTAAAACTGGCCGAGATCTATATAGTCAGCTGATATTAAACAGCTCTTTGTTACTATACATACCTTACCCAAAGTAAGAACGTTTGATAATACGCACTGTTTGGTTGAATTTACGGCGCACCAACACAATTTAGGCTATGTTGCCCCGAAACTAGCTCTTGGTGCTATGTACTTAAAGCAACACAAGGAATCAAAACCACCTCGCCTGCTGTAGCTTAAAGATATAGAGACTACAGTAATTCGCTGCTAAAGATTACACAGGATATAAACGACTCTGCAATTTCAATGCTCTTAAAAGCAATCACCAGTCAAAATGGATGGGGGCTCTTACATGAAAAATAACTATTTACAGAACATCCATTGGCGTTTTTTTTTTTTGGGGGGGGGGATTTTTTTTTTTGTTTTTTTTTTTTGTCTTTTTTGTTTTTTTGTTTCTTGTTGTTGCTTTATTCTATCAAATAAATTAGATACTGTACTTAAGAAATTACAAAAAAAAATACCAACAACTACTACTTTAAACATATTTTATTACGTAACTAAATACAGTAGTATAATTATTAAGTAGAATAATAAAAATTGGCAAATATATAGTTGAATATTAATATAAAGTAGTACTTTGACTTTTAAACAAAATACTAAATTGTTATAACTATACTTATTGCCAAAATGCAACAGAAGGAAAATATGGTAATAGTAATTCGCCAATTAGTAACATTTTTTGGAAGCAACAATTATAAGATTTTCAAAAAAAAATATTTTGGGCATAAAGTGCCTTTAAAAACAACATTTAAACAAAACATCAAACGCAAATATCATTATATCTTGGATCTACGATAACAATAGGGTTATCTGAAAATACAAAATGGAATGTTACTTGTATGAAAACATGTTTTAACAAATTTTAATTTCCACTGATCATATGTTGTAAAAGCTGATATAGAATTATATTTAGCCAGATATAAAAGGCTATAACAGGTAGCCAATTTGTGCCAAGGATAATGCAAATCCCAATTAAAAATTTTAGTTTCTAAAGCAATTCTATTTTCTTGGTGGGAGAGGGGCTTTATAAGCGTTCAAAAACTCAATATTAACTACTTAAAAAGTTTTGTATCGTTAATGTCTACGGAGCACGGCAACGTTATACACTCAAATTGACATTGGCATGACCTCTAGTCATGACACTGTACATTTCAAGTCATTCAGAAAATTCTTTGGTTAACTTGTATCTCTATCAAAAGACATGGCTTTCAACCAATGGTATTGTTTGAAAAAAAATAAACCAACCTGTTTTCCTCCAGTCATGTACTGTCACGTTTTGGCTATGTAAAGAGGTGAAGATCTCAATCACTATTGCACGTACACTGAAAGTGTCGTTTCTATGTATTTTGGAAACCGAGCTATGGAAACGGCAGAAAGATCGTATAAAAAGACGGAAGAATTAGACATGGGCCAAAGTGTCTAACAATTTTGCAATAATTAACTTCGTTGAACAAGTGAAGAGAAAAGGAAGGAAAAGATATTGCGTTTTGATATCACTGCTGTAGTGCTGGTTGCTTGTCTTTTCAATTTTGGGGGTAAGGTTATATCTCTTTTATGAACATAGGGATAAAATAAAACATAAATTAAATAAAGCAAAGAGAACTTTCAATTGAGAATTAAAGAAATAATGCACATTAATGCACACAAGAAACAGTTCTTTTTATTTAAAATAAGAAAGATTGAGGTTTTGTAATATAAAAGTTAATTTATAAGTTGAGAGGAAATGTAAATTTGAACTTAATGTATAGTCTTTATGCTATTCAGTATTTTAGAACAACTGAAAACAGTTTTTAAATGTGGAAAAACTGTTTCAAAGATTTTTGACATAAATGTTTAAAGGCCCATTGCACCTAAAAATGATTTATTTTTTCTTAATTTCATTTTTTATTTGTTTATTGATTTATTTATATATTTATTTATTTATGTATTTATTTATATCATTGTATATGTTGTTGTTGTTTTCAATTTGCAAAATTGCTGTATTGTTACATTTGCGAAAAATATACACATTTGCTGATGAATCATTTTTGGTATTTAGTACAGTTAAAGTGCTTTAATATTTTGCGTGAAGGTCACATTTCTCTTCTTATGATACAAATAATTTCACATGCAGCGCTGTTTTCCTTTGTAGATATGCATCTACTAAGTTCTCAATATAAAACAACCCTTTGATCATTTACACGAAAATAAAATAAATTTTACACCCTCTCTTTTATATATTTATTTATTTATTTATATTTCTATATATTAATTAATTAATTTATTTATTTATTTATTTGAAACTGTTAACATTACTATATTTTGTTGTCCTTTTTAATAAAAATTCGATTGTGATATTTGAAATTTACAAAAAGCATAGGATATAAAACAAAAATAAGTAACGATTTAAATGTAGGATTTTTGTTGTTGCTGTTGCTGTTTCTTGTCGTTAATGTTTGTTTGTTTTGTGTTGTAGTTGGGTGTTTTTGTATATTTTTTTAGTAAAATATTTATTTAATTTTTATTTTATTTTTTTATTTATTATTATTATTATTATTATTATATTTTTTTTTTGGTATTTCATGTTAAAGAATGATTTATTTAAATAAATACGTAATTCTGCTGGTATATCAATTTTCATAAAGCTTTGAATCAGACATTTAAAGACAAATTATGCCCCAGAAATACTACCTATTTTATTTCTTAAAAACTTTTTTTTTATTTTTGATATCTTGTTGCAGTGCAGTTTTCAAAGTACTACTCATTTGATAAATACATTGACTTCCTTTCACAACTAAAGCTCTGTTTGTAATCGGAATAATCATAGTCAATTAGTATTTTGTATGGAAGTCAAAATATTAATATGTTTAAATATTACTCTATGACACATTACTGCTTGATCAGTGCTTCTAACTTCAGTTGTTAAACATCTAGCATGCCCTTCAGCCATCTATTAAACACTATCAAACACATGCTTGACATTTCCGAAGAATTAAAAAATAATGGGCCTTTACAATTAAAATAGAATTACAATTTACAGCCAAACTCTATAGCTTTTCAAAGAATAACTTAACAACTTTAAGTTTTGCATTAACCTCTCTGAAATAAAATATACGTATGATTGAAATCAAAATGACAAGGTGGTGATCTTAATAGAAAGGCATGTTTATATCTTTTAAGATGCGTTATAATACAAACAAGAAAGTGAAATTGTTATCCTTTTTATATCTTTGAGTGTTACATAAAAAGATTTCATACAGGAATTCTTGCATTAAAAATTGTAAACTATTATTTCCATCTACCAACATACAGCACGAGACAAAAACAACACGCCAAAATATAAAATTTATTGAACGAGTTGGATGAAATTATATATTGCGAGCCTCCGGCGAGCAAAATGTTATATTTATCCAAGGATTCAATAAAAATTCAGTTACTATCCTATACGAATATTAAGAGGATATTTTTTCGTTTGAGCCAATATGGAATATATTTTCACGAAACATGATAAAATGCCACATATTTTCACGAGCCGGGACGGCGAGTGAAAATAAGTGGCATTTTATCATGTTGAGTTAAAATATATACCATATTTCACGAAAAACGAAAAAAAAAACCTTTTTATTTAATTTCAATATCAAAGAAAAATTATTACGAACCCCCTTGCTTGGTACGCAACTGCAATTGCACAGTGCGCGGTAATGTAATTCATGTAATTATTGTCTTGTTTGGCACGCGATATTAAGCGTTATTTACCGCCCACTTTCATATTTGTATTTCATATATATTTTTTTAAAATATGAAATATATTTGACTGATAAAGCACCATATTTTATGGGTAGAATAAGATAAAATATGCTATTGGTCACAAACCCAAAAATAAAGACTTTTGTAAGTGAACAAAAATCATTTTTCATTGACGCGCCTTTTGTGTAATGATAAAATTTAGCGCGTCTTTACACTACTATGTTTGTATAACGTAAATGACGTCACGTCAAAATATATGCACGACCACTTTTATTAATGCATTTAGTGGTATAATGTTTACTTTTATATCTATCAATTTACTTTATGTTGGAATAAATTAAGTAAAAAAAAACTCTCAACATTAAAATACTTAATGTTTACATGTTTTGTTTCTGAGCGTAAGTCAAACAGAAAAGCAGTAAAAGTTCTACGTATTCTTACTATTTATTTCGAAGTTCTTATCCGAAGTTTGACGGAAAGGGCCGAGAAGTTGCGATTGACGGTCAACAATCTGTCTTCTGTCCTTACTTTTTGGTTTTAGATAAAGTCCCGAACCCTTTCATGCTCGTGACCAATACAAACATATATTATTTAAGAGATAAATCTGTATTTTTACAGGAAAAAACATGTTTTTTAAAGTTATATATATAAATCTATAAACATTTACATCTTTAAATAAAAATCTTAGTACAATGACATCGCTAAATTGATTTCATGTTAACATTTATAACAGATGCACAAATCACTGGCTGGACTGGTCCAAGTGTAATAGCTACTGCTAGTGGTACTGCAACGGGAATAAACCAAGATGAGGATACAGCTACCGGTACAACAATAGCAACATTTGTAGCTACGCCATCGGGAGGTGATTCAATTGCTAGCTACGAATTGTTAACAACGGGCACGCCTTTTGAAATTTCCTCACCTGCGGGTGTGTTGACTTTATCCACAGCCCTAGATTTTGAAACTACAACCACTTATACTATTGAAGTGAAGTAAGTAACTAGTGGTTTTTCACGACTATTATAGAAGCAAAACAAAGTGTATTTTTTCCAACAGATTGTATGCTTAACTACAATGCTATTTGTTAAATGCCTTAGTAGATGTATTTTTAATGACATATCAAAACACAATGATTAATTTTACCCTTCACTCAGATTTGATTATATTGATTGATTCTTAAATCTGAATGTATTATTATCTTTTGTTGTCCTGTGTGTTTTAGGGGAGAAAATGAGAAAAAATGATAATCTAAATTTCTACAATTCATCATGTTTAATCAGTGTATAAAACAATTTAAAAAAATATATTATAAGAATTGTTTTTCAATCATTTCTTTTTTCTTCCAACATGTGACCAATTAATCAAACCATAATATGAAATTTATTTTTTATTTCTAAAGAGATGTTATATTTTACTATGGCTATCAATAATAATATGAGTTCTTATTCGGCGGATGTTTGTTCTTTCACGAATTTATGCTTCTTATATGCGATATACAATGTTAATTTGATATAATAAGAAAATATTGATAATAACTACACAGTCTCTTTGTAAATGTAAAACTAACATGTTTTGACATGACACATTGTAGATAAGTTATGTTTAAAATTCTACACACTCTAAGTGGTCACAATATGAATATATAGTGTCATTAAAAACTGGCAGTTTTTCTAAGAAAAGGGTAACTTTACTTTACCTTAAATAGGGAATACAGCCTCACATGCATAGTTTAATCCTTCATTAATTCAAATAAGACATATTCAGTAAGAATTTCATAGATTTCGATAAAATTTCTTTGCTAAAAATATTTTACTCATGGATGTGTATAGTATATCTTGAAAAAATATTTCACATGTTTACATTTAAATAACAAATGATGGTCAAAGTGAACGTTTATAACCAAAAAATCAACTAGGTTAATATTTAACATTACAAGCGATGGAAAGAGTGGATAGTTATAACTAAAATACGGCTATTTTTAGCTGTCAACATTCAAATATCTAATGAAAAAAGTGCTTCAAGAGTGTAAGAAGTTAAAAGTATCTTTATAAAAATGCATACCAAATGCTTTTATTATAAATCTTTCATAAAGATATACTATGCTAATCTTTGGGTACAATGTTAAAATCACAGACATTTATTGAAAAATTAAAAAAAAATCTTATAGAATATGTCTGATTTGAATAAATGAACTATGTATTGGAACCTTCAGTTTCTATTATAGGTTAAGTAAAGTTGCACCTTTCTTAAAAAAATTGCCAGTTTTTTAATGACACTATATGTTCGTATTGTGATCATCTTTACTATGTAAAGTTTAAAACAGAACACTTTCTGTGAAATCAAAGCATTTTAAATATATATTTAGAATGATATTGTGTAGCATTTATAAATATTTTTGATATTGGGCATAGTATACCTTCACGAATTTTATAGTTTTAGAATTTCAAACAAAGCTTGCAATAAATTCGTGGTACGTGTATAAGGATTCACCAAAGTAATACAACATTGTATGAATGTATATCCCTGTTATCGCCAGAAAGACATAAAATAAATATATAGACTGCCAAGAAAAGTTTAGTGATAGGAAGTAGTATGTCTGGTATAGCAAGACATGTTGTACAGGCTTGCAAGACGGGGAACCGTATTTTCGTTTATCTGCTGTGAATACAGCAAAATTTGACCGTGTTTTAAAGGAACTTTACCCCATTTTTTTACATGACGGAACTTCATTTTCCAGATTAATGTTCCATTTGATTTAGGTCTAAACCAATTATTTGTGTCCAAATTTTCAGGTTATTTGCTCAGTCTGTTTCACCAGAATTAGTTTTCTAATTGTGAAAAATTACCCAAAAAATGAAATGCAAAGCTGGATATAAATAGCACAAAAATGCAATTTTCAATTTATTACTCTTAAAACATATTTCTTAATTAATATTCTTTTTATATAATTCTGTTATAAAGAGTACAATATGATTTAAATTATACAGTACTTAACCATTATCATAGTTATCATCAAGTTGTCTAGTTTTTCTTTTCAAGAAAATGAGATTTTGCCTATTTCTTTGTACCGGTAATCAGGCCAAAAAATTATCTTGATATAATACAAGGTACTTTAAGGAAGTATCTTACAAGAATAAGAATATCTGCGCATTCAGTAAATATCCAAACTGGTAGGTTTCATAGAAATAAAATTGTTAGAAATGAAATATGTTTTTTATATTGTAATGTACATGACGTCGAAGACCATTTCATTTTAATTTGTCCTTGTTATATTGATATAAGAAAAAAATATAAAAAGATACTATTATATAAGACCTTGTATCCTTAAATTCACTGATATTTTAAAATCAAACAATAGAAGTATACTTTTAAATTTATCCTTGTATGAACGAGATGAGATGTCTCATAGAAATAACTTAGATATAGTAGATACAACTTAACACATAAATAATTCATACTCTATATTGATATAAAAGAGACCTGTTTAGATCCGATCCTGTGATTTATGTTAGTATGTATTGTAAAATTGTTTATATATGTTTGACGATGTATGATTGTACAAGTCAAAAATAAAGTATCTGTTCTGTCAATCTTAGGAAATCTTTGAACAAGTGTGTTTGTTTTGGGGTGTTTTTGTTTTGTTTTGTTTTTTGTTTTGTTTTGTTTTTGTTTTTGTTTTTTTATTTTATCTTTATTTTGTTGTTTTTTCTTTTGTTTCGTTTATTAATACTCTCAAAGACAGTGATACTTTATTTATGTCGACCATTAATAATTTCAGAGCGACGGACAATAATGGTACTCCAAATTCCGGCACTGCGACGCTAGTTATCACAGTCACTGATGTTAATGAAGCAACACCAACGTTTAGTGCAACTTCTTATACTGTTTGCGTGACAGATGCTTCAGCTGCGGGTAAATCCACCCTTTACAAGCTGGGAAAATTGTATTTAGCTAAATACCGTCACAATTTTTTCTTGAAAATAAGAAATTAAAATAGTGTGATGCTGGTGTACCTGGTGTACTGACCACTTTGTTCTTTGTCAAGCCATGAAAAATATTAAAGTCACCATATGTTGGTTAATGCAGCTGGCCTCTTGAAGATAACAGGAAATACCGTCTTACAAATATCTTAATATCCCTCCTCAGAAACATTATATAGTAGAAAAATCAAAATACATTTCAAAATGTTCATATATTTACATTATTGCTCTGAAAAAGAAAACGGTTCGCTTTTCTGTCAACGGGATAAACTTTCTTCTATAATACAACGGAGTTCTTTTATCTGGTCTCGGCTCAGTGATAGTTGGTACTATTTGTTTTATAATTAATCAGTCACATTTGAGGATTCCACTGTTTTATATGAATGATACACTGTCTTCAACTTTAAACATCACCACTTTGTTAGACAAATAAGGCCCGAAAGCCACCTTTTTCAGAAATTTAAATTTGAATTATTTTAAATCAATCACTTTAATAACTTCTGACGACACGTCATCATTTAACAAACAACAACTACACAAATGCAATAAGTTCGCTTAAATTATGACCAATCAAACCAGAGATATCTTAAATCGGGCTACTTTAAAATTTAAAAGAACTACTTTATAGAAAACAACGGATTGGGTCTTATTCCTACCGGGTTGACACCATCGGGATTTTATTATAGTACCACGTGTTTGTACAGGGCAATATTGCGACCTGTTATCCGGAATCCGGGATAGTATCAAACTGTTTGGAAACGAATAAAATGCTTTGGTTTAGATCTTTGTAGTAACTTGTGACACTAAAAATATGACTGATTAATTATATCATATATTATAATGACCACCATATTGATTTAAACTTGAACTTCGTAGATTATGCTAAGAATAAAAACGATATATTGATTCTTTGTTGAATTAAGATATCAGTGATAATTGATGTATTCATTTAACCTGACTAGATCAGTATTTACCGTTTACTTCTTTTCATTTTACCATCTGTTACATGATATACCTTTAATCGCCATATTCATAGCTTTTTCTTGCTCATCAGATGGTGTTTTCGTAAGTTTTATCCATGCAGGAAATTTCATCTGTCATGCGTGGTGGCGCTATACAAAGGCATGCTTAAGATGACGTCATTTCGCTGAATCACATTATTAATGAAGTTGTAATTTCATTCGATGTTGTAAGAAAATTGTTAGGGTGTATCAATATAAATTTCTTTGGAAAATTGTTTTATAAAAGTAAAGAATTTAAAGTATGATGGAATATGGTAGAATATATAAGAAAAAATTCTGAACTATGTTTACGATTTGGGTTGAAATAATCGTCCCGAGGTGGCACGCCCATTTTGGCGGTAACGAGGCTTTTCGACATATAACAGATATTTTTAATCTACTATGACAGCTGAACATACTGTCAAACCGATTTTCTAATTTTTATTTATGTATTTCATGTTATGCCTTTTATTGTTGTTCCCTTCTGATAATTGTTTTTCATATCAAAAAAGTATAATTTAATCTTTGGTTTTCTATTTCATGTGAAAATAATTTATATTTAAATTTGAAAATCCCATCGTATAATTAAGCAAATGATACTTTCTTTCAAGATTGAAGATAATAGAAACTAGCCAAACATATTTTATTATTTCATGTAATCAATGAAATTTATTATGAAATGTCCTATTATATTAAAACGAAATCCTTTATTTTTGTGTCTTTCCTTTAGCAATTATTTACACCATTCGCATCAATGCAGACATGTATTTGTGTTTTATTGTTGAATCTTTCATTGCATGATTTTTATGTTTTACATTTCAGGTACAACTGTCACAACTTTCTCTGCCACTGACGCAGACACATCTGATACCATAACCTATTCGATCAATAGTAAGTAAAACAGTAATAACTGCTTCACTTTTTTCTTTGGTTTAATGCCATACCCACACTGGCGACTTTGTAGTCTTACTGTTGGACAATGACCCCAGATTTCGCTTAATGCATTGTTTCAGGCACCAGATTTACCAGATTTATAAGTAGATCATCCGACCTGTCGCACGCTAGCCGGATAACATCCATATTCATGTTGGGATTCGAACCAACAGCTTTGATGGGCACTAGCTTGTAAGTCAGCAATCTTAACTAATCAGCAAGGGAAGGCCCACAACAAACCAATAATGAATTTAAATAAAAAAACAGTCGTTTGTGACAACCATAATATGTGATTAATCTTGCAAAACAATATTAAAGGGACTCCACTGAGGTGTTTGGCATGATGGGACTGAAGATATTTTTTTCCAGATAAAACTACCATATGATGTAAAGTTAGACTACTGTAATTTTTGCAAAAAAATCGTGCAATTCGTTTTTCGAATGATTTTTATGTTTTACATTATTACAATTATTCAAATTGTAAAGGAATGAACCAAAATGAAAAGCGTTTACTCAAAACGGGCTAAGAAAAGCATAAAAATAAGATTTTCAATTTATTTCAAAGTATAAATCTAAACTATCTTTGTTTATATTTCTGTTTACAGTTCCCCAGCTCATTTATGTAAGAATTCTTATGTTATATTTTTAGGCTTTTAAACCTAAGTGGAGTCTCTTTAATACATCCAGAATCAAAAGTAAGAGAAAATACCGGTCACAAAGTTTGAAAAATTTTGTCGTATTTTAATATTTACCAAAACAATAATTAAACAAATATTTAAATTTTTGTGGCGATCGTAACTACTTATTTTTCCCAATGTTACAAAATTTTCATGTACAGCTTAGGTAGAATATTCCGTTATGGTGTCAGTAAGCTTACATGAATTAACCTAAAATGTTATTCAATCTTAACATTAAAGCTACTACATTAAATTCCAAAATCTTCACAAGCTGCTGAAACCTCTTTTGATAAGAATTTATAAGAATGGTATGTTTGCGAGTTTTTTTTCAGTACAACTTTTTAAAGGGTACCATTGAGACATTTACAAGTTCAGTATTTATTATGTATATATTTTTTTTTATCATTTAAGATTACTTGAATACATCTTAAATCTTATGATTTAAAATGCATATTTAATTTGTAAATTGAATCATAATCAGCAGCAAGTTTTACTTTAGCTAACTATTGTTTATTGTAAACAGAATTTTGATAGATTTTATTTTATTTTGTGAAAAATTATTTTTTAGCTGGAAACACAAACACCGACTTCGAAATTGCAACAGCAGAGCTAAAGGTCGCTACTGGGAAAACGCTTGATAGAAACACAACAGCCAGCTATACACTTGTCATTCATGCTGAGGATAGTGTCGCTACTGTCAGAACTGGGTCAGCTACATACACAGTCAACGTCCAGACGTCATGCAGCAGCGGAGCAGCAGCTTTGACCATAACATTTATTACACTTTTCCTGGCACTCATATCGTCTTTAAACTAATACTTTAATGCTTCATTGAATAAAACAACCGCCGACAGCTACATAACAGGCAGACTATACCTCAGACATAATTTTTCTTCTTTATTTCTGAAAAAAAAAATTTTAGATTTCTTGATACTGTTACGAAAAAAAACATACACATAAACTTCTTTTGCTGATTTTTTTTTCTTGAAAATTGGTGTAATTTAAGTAAATTAGTTTTTGGGACGGAAGTCAGCATGTTACTGAATTTACATATTTTTTATACCTTTAAAATACATTACTGCATGTTCAGTGCTACATCTAACATCTAACAGGCTGTCATTCAAATTTTATTTCACATATTTCATACAATTTTTTCAAAGTCAAAAATATGGATTTCTGAGACATAGTGTGCCTTCAACTTGAATTAAAAGTGTATAAAACTGTATATCAGCTGCAGAAATTTATAATTTGATTTTATTTAAAAGGAACTCTGTCTTAATTACCTGTATGAAAGCTACATGTTTATTTTTTTTAAATGATAACCGCATGCACGAACTATTTGCCTAATATTCAAAACAAGACTAAGATAGCAGCATCATATTTAATTCTGTTTCCGTACACTTTTCATTCAGAGACATTTACTTTTATACTGTTTGCTGAGAGTGAGACTAAAAAGTTAGTACTTAAGGTGAGATGACTCATCCAGGATGTTGATGACTTAGTAAGAATCAGTAGATGTGCATTCGCGTTAGCATTATAAATCTACTGGCATTTTCCTGACTAGGACTATGGTATACAACGAACTGTCCATTATATAATAAAAGTAGGAAACAGTTATACGAGTGTGTGTTGAATGGTACATTCCTTCGTCGAATCAATCAAAACGCGTAAAATGACAGTCATATGTCACGTGTAACGTCCAGTGTGTCCACACAAAGCAATGATAAAGCCACCATTTGAGTGAAACATGAAAATTACTGTCTTCAATGTGAAATTTGAACGATAAGAGAGAGTGTGTTATGGCTGCTACAAGGTTTGATGCTGTGGAGAGTCTACTCCCTTTCGTACTGAATGTGTGCTGTGTATTTATATCTTAATCTTTTTTTAAACAGTAAAATGATATCTGTGATGAGATTCTTTACCGTATCGATGTTGGATTCATTTTACTATTGATATAAAAACATGTATTGTTATGCCAGCAATTTGTTTAAAAAATGTAGAAGCATGTACAACTATAAGTATTGACAGCTGACATTACATTTTTCCCAATAAGATCGTTTGAGACCTTTTTGTTTCAAATTATGATATACATTTAGATTACTTATCTATAAAAACTTGGTATCTAAAATAAGCGTGTTATACTCGCATTGTGTAAACAACCAAAATATAATTTCATCTGCCCTAAGTAGGTTAGTGTTTTTAGAGTCGAAATCTGGCAACTTCTGGCTTGCGGCCTGACTGGTAGAGTTATGCTGAATAACAACACTATCCTTTACTTTTTAGTTGATATTATCTTAAAGGCATTATAAAAAATATCATGAAAATATATAAGTGAAATAAAATGTTCTTAATCAACTCGTTTTTTATTTGAAATGACTAAATGTGTTATCAATGGAATGGGTGAAAAATAAAACAAAACAATACAGCATCTGTGTTACGTTATTTTTATTTATTAAGTTTGAATGATAAAGAAGTAAAACATTCATTATATATATCAGAATGCCTGTCGATTTATCTATTTTAGAATTTAATCAAGCAGAAACTGCAAGGGGTAACAGCACAAATCCACGAAGGGAGATGATAAGTATCATGATATGTAATAAACATTTTGAATGATTGAATGATTTGCTTCCCTTTTAAATTTTAAAACGTTACCTTTTGTTCGGCAAAGATAGAAAAAAAACATTTTCAAAACATCAATGATTGAGAGAATCAATGTCACGATCTGCCCTTTAAAGTAATTTTGTCCCAGTTTGGTAGATAAACTCTTCGACACCTTATTTGATTTCAAATTCGTTATTTCTACTAAATTCGATGACATGGTGCTAAATCTGTTAAAATCCTATGCATCATATTCCATTCTATAGTGATTTTGCGAAATGACAGACATTTTCTTACAGTTATGTCCCTTTCTGTACGAAAGTAGCAATTGGGTTTGTTCAATGAAGGATTGCAAAAACGTTTTGTCGCATAGAAATCATTGAGATTTTGCAAAATAGTTGAAAATAAATAAAATAACAAAGAATAATTTCAAATTTAGTAAAATATCAGTATCGCTGATTTTTAATTGTCTGATCATAAAACTGAATTAAAAGAATAAAACATACTCTTTTTCTGTGCAATTATCCATAAAATAGAAACCATAACCTTTTTTCATGAATTTGTTTAAAAAAACTTAAGGTTCTTTTCAAATATGCAAAGTATTAAAATGAAATCTGAATACTATTTAAATTGCTCCTTCTTCCACGTGTGCCACCACTCTACCTGTCTAATTACGTACAGTATAGTATACCGTAGGGAAGATAAAGTGGATACTACATGACTCCTCATATCTCTAAGTGGCTGCGGAACAAAAACGACATCCACTTATTGCAATGTCGACATCTTGATTTTCTTAACCGTAGATGCATGCTGACAAACACTTATGTAAAGCTTTATGACTCGAGGTCAAATACTTCTTGGATTACGTGAGATATAAGTTGAAAAAATGATATTTATTCTAAGTCAATAGCAATAGCTCTGAAAAAATTGATTTAATCCACACACAAAGCCCCTGGTGCACAACTTTAAAGTTTCATGATTCTAGGTCATATACTTATTGGACTAAGGGCAACACAAATTGAAACTTGCCAATTTTAAGTCGAGAGCAATAACTCTACAAGCCTTGAATAAATGCACAAATTAATACCAAGGTACACAACTACAAATGGTGCCTAATATTACTGGACACTTTCATGACTTTAGGTCCAATAATATCTAAGCTATTTATTTGGAAAAAGTTGATCCCTCGGAGCATTAAAAAATACATGAAAACTGCAGACTCGGTTTAATTGTGTTTGGACATGAGGGATTCGTACGACACATGCGAAAAAAGCAATTTTTTACCTAGCCAAGGGCAATAAAACCCAAACTAAAAGGACAATGTTTTGGATAGCTCAATCAGGACTTTGAAAAGGTTTCAGTTTTTAATTTCATAAATTATTCTTGTAGTGAATTGTATAGTCTTTGAACTGAACTTTGTGCCGATGGGTTTATATTTCAAGTATACAAAAATATAATAAAATAATTGCAAATAATATTTTTATATAGTGTGCAGCCAGTAAAGAAGTATCTATGGATTTTGTTTTTGTTTTATGAATTTTGGAAGCAACATATTACCAAATTGTTCAGACTATAGCCCGACCGGTTTTCACCCCCAAAGCTTGATGCTTTAGAATACAGCAAAGCAGGGAGCCCGTTAAAAATTTGTCGAAATATTTGTAAATGGAGTAAAACAGTAAACATTTTGAAGTTTATTCCGCCTGTTGTGTCGTTTATATTGGTGCTGTAGATTAAAATTGATCATCATCTAGGAGAAAAGTATCTACTGTGTCGGCCGACAAAAAATGAGGTTAAAATAATGGAAATAGAATAAAATACAAAATGATTTTTAGTGTAGGTGTAACAATTAACAACGGCGAACAGTTTTATCTTGTTTATTATTAAAGGCGTTGAAATACGACATTTTTGCAAAACAGCCTATAGTAAGTTTTATACTATATATGATAAGAACATTTGCTGGGATTGACAAATATATATTTCCTTGGATTTTTAGGGGTTTTGAGTTCCACATCTCAAGTGTCTGTGGGCGGACACAATTAACCAAGTCGCTGACAAAATCTGTATTCAAAAGTTAATTCTTAATACAAAATCTTTGGTGACTTGTTTCTGCCATTTTGTGTCTTCGTATCTTTCGAAGCCTTAGCATAAATAACAATCTAGCAATGGTGAAGATTTCATGCTAAATATCATCTATGGAACGGAATTCAATTCACTTTACTTCATACTGTATCGTAAATTGAGATGTATGTTTTGCAAAAGGTGCCTTGATTCCAAATTTTTCAAAAGTATATAAAAGCAAACCGTTACGTTTGAGCCAAAGACAAACCTTTTCTTACTTGTATATTAGGAAATATTAGACATATCCTGATTTACAAAATTACCCACTACTATTGCTTGATTTTTATATTATAATGTATCAAACTAGGATAGGACATCGACCGAGTACCAGGTCTTTCGTTGTAAACTAACACCGTGAGAACGAAACTTTCGAAGTGTTTCATAAAATTGGCTCCCAGATTTTCCTAAACAGAATGATCGATGCACGAGACCGATATCGAATTTTGACATGAGCAATGGCTGATCTGAAGCATTTGCTATGCGCTGTCGATGTCGCATCAAATAGGTGCCAGGTCTTTTCCAAACAGCAATGGTTGTTCCAAAGCCTTTGATATAAGGCACAAAGTTTATTTCTTACACAGGGCATATTCATGTAAAAGCTGTTAACAACGTTCCATTTAAGAATAACAAATAGTTTGCATTTAACTATGCTTTAGAAATAACAATAATAAATGCTTAATGTACAATTTGTTAATATCAACATGTATTGGTCAGTAATTGAAAATATGTAAATGAATGAATAAGTACGTTAATATTATTTAGTATCAGACAAAACATCACAGCATAAAAGACTTATATATTTATATTGTTGGAAAGTGTGAGATACATGATAAGATATTGTGTAATTATATAACAGATAATGAAGAGTTCTAGACAAAAAATATAACTGTTCATCGTGTATTTTTTTTACTTAAAGTACTAAAACTTTTATTCACATTTCTTTTTCAGGAAATATTTTTAAGATTATCCAAATGATACATTCTGAATCTATTGTTATATCGATATTTGAAATTTGGACTTCAGAAAATTGAAAATCGGCCATATTCAGGGAGAAATTTGCTTGGACTTTTTGTCGGTTGAATAGAAAGGTAGAATAAAATATGAAAAACAAGATCAACAAGGAAAGGCGGCGTTCAATGAACGCAACCCCCATATGACCCAGCAACAAGAACCAATGGCAAGGAGCCCAGGCGGACCCCAAACATAAAAAGGACAGGGCAACGACACGTTAATCATTAAATGATAAATAATTTGTAACTGATTAGGAATTCAAAGAAAATAATAATAGGCCCACAAAGGGGAAGGGGACAGGAGACCGGGGGAAGGGGGGGGGGTTAATCAAAGAAATAAAAACTAGAGGCAATGGGGAAGATACTTACCGTAGACGAGAAAAAACAACAAGGGACACAAGCAAAAGTGTCACCAAAACAGTATGAAACAACATAGACATACATCTGAGGAACACAGTGGGGCGCCGCCTTGGAACGGTCAGCAGCATAATAATGACTGCTGGGGAGTTTAAACCGGTTAATGGTGCACCAAACCTCGCTCTTAGCCCCACCATGTTCCTATAAACGAGACAGTGTAAATAAAATGAATCCCCGCCAAGTGAAATTCTAACAGTTGTCATGGTTACAAAAGGTTAAATAAGTAAAACACTAAAATGATCATGTAGAAACATATAAAAGTAAACCCAATGACCATAACAAAAGTACTCAATGTCCTAAAGGAAGACAGAGCAACAAGAAAATCACCTACAAGGGCCCGACGAAGCAAGGCAGAAGACGAACATTAAGACAAGAGGAAAGCGTAGTGTCCAACTGTAAAAGGGTTGAACACTAAACATGCAGTATGTCTTAAAATAGTAGGGTCATAACCTCTTTTAATAAAACGTTTAATAATTATAGTAAAAACAGCAGAAAAATTACCATGACCCAAAATCTTACGAAGTTTGTAAACCACATCGCCATAAAAACCAGGCTGGCTAATCCCTTGTCGCAGAAGAGTTTTTAAATCACTATTGAATTTAGAAATTAAATCAAAGTTACGATTGTAAAATTTAGTAAAATATTTCCGTAATTTATGATAGCGGTAGCCCTGTTTTAGAAGCTTGCTGGTAATAAAAATATTCCGCTCGTTGAAATCCTTTACGTTGTTACAAGCTCTAGCGAATCTAATTAACTGAGAAACATAAACCCCGTAGGATGTTGCATGGGGTACGTCTCCATCCAAATGTGGATAATTAACTATACAAAAGTCAAAGTCATCTCTTTTATCATAAATTTTCGTGTGAATAGAATTGTTGTTGATAGTAATATGAAGATCCAAAAATGATGTACTAAAATTTCAAGAGTTCGTTTTATTAAGTTGTAGTTCATGCGGATAAATGTCAGACACCATTTGATCAAAATAAGGATTATCTAAATTAAAATATCATCAAGGTATCTGGAAGTATTATTAAATGGACTATAACATCTTGTTGTTTTCTCGTCAGAGAGACTCAACATAAAGTCTCTTTCATAGCAGTACAAAAACAAATCGGCGACCAGGGGTGCACAATTAGTACCCATAGGAATTCCTATGATCTGTTTAAATAGGGTATTACCAAACCTGACATAAATGTTGTCTAAAAGAAAAGAGAGTGCTCTACAAACTTCGTCACAGGTCCACATAGTATAATGTTTAACAATACCGTTAGTAAAAAAAA